TACTCTCTGTGTGTGTGTGTGTGTGTGTGTGTGTGTGTGTGTGTGTGTGTGTGTGTGTGTGTGTGTGCGTGTGTGTGGTATATATTTACATATTATATATGTATTAAAAGTTTCTTATTTATTCAGCAAACTCCAGTTATTATAGCTGGAACAAAGGAACAGCAAAAGAAATATCTTGGAAGACTTGTAGAAGAGCCTCATGTTACGGTAAAAGTGAAAGGAAACTTTTATGTTATCTAAAAAAATCAGAATATATAAATTAAATAATCTTATTTATAGGCGTATTGTGTTACTGAACCTGGTGCAGGATCTGATGTAGCAGGTATTAAAACTAAAGCTGAGAAAAAAGGAAAAGAATGGATAATTAATGGCACCAAGATGTGGATTACAAATGGTGGTGTCGCTAATTGGTGCGATAACATACTTTAACATTAACTTATAAAAAAGCATAATTTATATTTTTTACATTATTTTAAATTTCGTAGGTATTTCGTTCTAGCGAGAACAAATCCAGATCCAAAAGCTCCAGCTAGTAAAGCTTTTACAGGCTTTATCGTAGAACGTGATAGTGATGGTTTAACTCCTGGTCGTAAAGTAATTCAGTTTTTTGTCATCTTTGAATTTGAATTTTTATTTTTTATGTATTATTATTAAACATAATTTCATATTTCAAGGAGATTAATATGGGACAAAGAGCAAGTGATACACGAATGATAACATTTGAAGATGTTCGCGTGCCTGAAGAGAATGTACTGCTTACAGAAGGAGAAGGATTTAAGATAGCTATGAAGACTTTTACTAAGACACGGTCACCGGTAACATTTCTACACTATTATATGCCGTCTGATTGTGAATTTAACATAAAATTTGTACATTACTATTATATTTATTAAAGGTCGCAGCAGCAGCCACTGGTTTAGCTCAAAGAGCTTTGGATGAAGCAAACAAATATGCAATAGAACGCAAAACGTTTGGTACACCGATAGCGACACATCAAGCAGTGGCTTTTATGCTAGCTGATATGGCTATTGGTGTGGAGACTTCTAGAAATGCATGGATGAAGGCAGCATGGGCTATCGACAAAGGATTACCAAATGCTACAATGCTTGCGAGTATCGCAAAATGTTATTGTGCTGATGTAGCTAATAAATGCGCTACAGATGCTGTACAGGTACTATGCAATAATTTTCATAACTAATTTCTCTATACAATTATTAATGATGTACTACTATTAAGAAAATTGAATATACATATATTCTTCCTATAGTTTGTTTATGTACACACACATATAATGACAATTTTTCTTATAGGTTTTTGGTGGTGCGGGTTTCAATACTGAGTATCCAGTAGAAAAACTCATGCGCGATGCCAAAATTTATCAGATATATGAAGGTACTGCGCAAATTCAAAGACTTATTATATCACGCGCTCTTTTTGAAGAAGCCAAGCAAAAAGTTCAATAAACGAATTGAAATACTAATTCATGAAAACTAATTTAGTATTAAGGTATTGTTATTTTATACTTTTTATGAAATTATATACATACATTAATTACAAATTAAAATGATAAATATATCTACGCTTAAGAATTATATAAACAATGTTATTTACAAACTTTTTACTATATTTTTATAGAAATATATTTATATATTAATGAAATAAATATTAAAATTTGTATATTAAGTGATATTGTAAACATATGCAATAAATGAAAATTATGTACATATATATGTATGTCATGTAGTTATACATATGTAGTTTTCATATATACATACAGGGTGTCCCGTAAAGACCGTAACAACGTTTAAAGATAGATTTCTGAGATCATTTTGAGATGGAAATCCTAATAAAATGTCGAGACTATAATGCTTTTTGAATTATGAAAATTATTTAATTTTTTGAAACATTTAGAATTAGCAAATCAAGTTGCTTAAAGTTCACGAACTCAGTGATATAATGCACAGTATGAGAAAAGAAATCGCCCCTCTTGTCAAAATTGATATAAATATTATAATGCAAAGAAATAAGTTATTTTTACTAATATTCGCATAAGTACACTGTTTAAGCAAATATTTTACTGAAAAAAAGATATTGCATAACGTAAAACGCAAACTATGAAATGACATTCCTTTCAAAAATTTACTAGTTTCATATCTTATAAATATTTCTTAGAATAAATAAGATTATTAATCATTGAAATCGGCCGAAATATTATTTTAGAATAATAATAAATTTTTTAAAACAATTTATAAGTAATTTATAAAATAATTTAAATAACAATAACAAATTATTTTATTTTGTTTCATTTATTTGTAATAAGTGCTCAAATTGTATGTGAGCCATTCATTTATATGCGATATTTGTAAAATATAAAATTAGCAAATTTCTGAAAAGAATGTCGTTTGACAACCTGTGCTTTACATATTATGTAATAATATTTTTTCTTCTTTTCAATAAGATATAATCTGCTCAAATAACGTATTTATATTAGTAAAAATAACTCACTATCTTTGCATTATAATCTTTATATCAATTTTGACAAGGGGACGATAGTCAGCTTTCGTACCGTGCACTATACCACACCTGAGCGCGCGAACTTTAGGCGACTTGATTCGCTAATTTTAAATGTTTATAATTCAAAAAGCATTGTAATCTCGACTAATTTTGATATTAGACGCGCGTGTATGTACATATGTATGTATGTACGTGTGTGTGTGTGTGTGTGTGTGTGTGTGTGTGTGTGTGTGTGTGTGTGTGTGTGTGTGTGTAACACGTTTTTATTTTATGAAAATAGAATTATTAAAATTTTTTTAAGTAAATTCAAAAAAGTATAACAAGTATAACAAATGTTTTATGACAAAAATATAAAGCATACAAAAAATTATTTTATAATACAGGATGTTAAAATATTACAGTTTTAATTCTTTACTATATGTTCAGTTTTTCATGTACTTCTATATAATTCAATGCGAAAGATTACGTTATTCTTAATTTCCGATAAAAGGAAAAGAATTTCAAAAAAGCGACAATTTATGAGAAAATTTTTCTTTTTTCATCAAATATGTGATCCCTTGTAATGTAGTCTTGTAACATAAATTTTAAATATCTCAGCAATGATAGAATCTAGAAATTTTGTCCTTTAGGACAAAATAAGTTGAAAGTGTGGAATAAAGTTTCTACATATAAAGTTTTATTCTCGAGAAAAATAATTTTGAAAATCTGTCAAACACATATACTAGCTGTAAGTTTCGATGAATCTTTGTTTGTGCTCATGTTTACATTTGTAAACATAGGTAACGTCATGATTATGCGTCATGATTATTATTTTATTTGGGCTATATTTCGATTCACGCTCATAACGCTCGTAAGCATTTGCCTTTGTTTAATATTTAATAAAGAATAAAATAGTTCTGCTGTGTCTAAATCGGGACAATGTCGAAAGACGTAAGCAAAAACAGAGATCCGTCAAGACTTGACACAGTTACAGTTAATACACGTGTACCTGATGAATTTTCAAAGTCGCTTTTCTCGAGAACGAAGCTTCATATACTGAAAACTTTATTGTGCATTTTCGACTCATTTTTTTTTTATAAGAAATTATTCTCTTTCTGATTGTATCACGATTGTCAAAACACCTTGTACATACCGATTTCGATCGGAAAACAGAAATTGATTCTTTGTCGCAGATGACATTCAACTCGATTCGAACTCGATAAAGATAACGCACGTCCGCGCGTTTTCATCGCGAGGAACCGTCGTTTCGAAATAGGCGCGCTATCTCGACAGACGGCGCTGGCCGCGTCGCGACCGGGAGTGCGTTAGTCAAGTGCATTGTTCATCGAAAACGTATTACGGTCACATTATGTCCGTCGAACCGTAGCCTTTTTCACGCGATTTTACTCGGTCAAGTCGCGCGTGACGAGTTATGCAACGTGCGCCGCGTAAGGGCGGCCCGCGCCGGGCGATCGGACACCGCGGCAGCTGACCTACTTAGAGACCTCGGCCTATCGTCGTTGTGTCCCACGACGAGACGCGGCGGCGAATCGAGCCGCCGATCGCGTGAAAGGAGAGGTTCGTGACAGATCCCCGGCTACTTGTGAGAGAGCAGACGAAAAAGCCGGCACACGGGGGTCGAACCCCCGTGAATCGGTTGTTCCGCGACGCCGGATCCGCAAGACGACACGGTAGCGGCGCGATCGCGGCGCGACGGCAAGGGAGAAGGTGGGGAGGAGGGCGCTTTTGGAAATTGCGTCTTTCCGCCCGCGACGGAACACACCAATGGGGGTGCAGTGCCGTAGCTGTCGCGCGGTGGCACCCGGAACGCAAAGATGCCGAACCTGTTCCGACCGAGGCGGCGGGTAACAGGGCTCGTTCTCTCTCTCTCTCTGTCCTCTTTCTCCGTCTTTTAATCTCACTCCGTCTCTCTTCCGCATCGCGAAAGCGCGACGACACGTCTAGTCTCGTCCCTCGTCTCGGCAACGAGCGAGAAAGCGAATGCCGATGCACTCTCATCGCGATTACGGTTTTCCCTTTCGTTCCCACTGCCACTGCCGTACTGCCGCGCAGCGTAACGAAAGAAAAGGCGCGCGAGCTAGATAAACGATAAACGATAAACGATTCGAACTGGATGGCAATGTTTTTCCGCAACACGCGAAGCGAATCAGCGTGATATCAAAAGTACATGCGTGCATTTTTAGTTCACCCGTTCGTGGATTATCGCCTGTCCACGTGACTTCTGATCTCCATATCTTATCGCGAACTGCGATCTTCGGAGTAATTTGTACGTAATCGTAAACGTCGCAACGCGACGTGATATCGAGAAACTTCCGCTGTCAGCGCGAGTCGTCCAAATTTCGAGTCGCGCTCATCGATTCACGTGCATCGTGTTATTTCCGTGCGTCACACGGAAGCTTATCTCTATAACGGAAGGGAAGAAAAATGAAACGAAGGATCAACGTCGTGAGAGAAGAGAGACACGGACACACATGGTGGCCGCGTGGCCGATACGGTCCTGGCAGTTCTCGCACTGTCAGTGCGCGACAGTGCGCCGGACGCTCGCTTGACTAAGGGAGTGCCCGTGCCGATGCAAAGTGTAAGTGAAGTGGCCTACAGACCTACATTTGTCTAACGTTCCATTTTTTTCACGGGCCGACAGAAACTGGAGGTTAACAAATGCCACGCGCGCAATACCACCGCTCTTTTACTCCGTAAAGCGTGGCGTGGTGTGGCGTATACGTGCGTGTACAATGCCGCCGTCCCATGATATACCGACGTTCGTCCGACGAGACGGACGGAAGAGAGACTGAGAGAGATAGAGTGGTAGATAGACAGAGAGAGAGAGGAGGGTGGA